TCGGATTTTGCCCAATGCCCAAAGGATGTCAGGTTCGCTATGATCATAATGATGAATAAGACAATTTGGAAAGGTTTCACATAGAATGGTAGAATATTAAATTAATGCTTATTAATTTAATAAGATAGCTGCTGCCTAGGAGTCTTTGTGAAATTTCCAGGGAGGGATACATTACCATTCCCTCAATTCAGAGCTATGTACTTTGATTGAAAGCATTGCCTGCAGGTTTTAAAGTGTTTACAATCTCACAGGAACAGGGACGATACAATTACAATGATACCTAAATCTTCCATATCATATTGGTTGATTTATATGTGAGGTAATCAGAAATAACACAACATAAAATACTGTTAAATGTTAAATTATGTGGTTCCATTAATAAATGCTATAAACATTCACTGAAGAGATATTAATGTGAGTAGTCAGAGAAGGCTACACAGAAAGAAAAGAAAAAGAAATGTATCTTCTAGAATTTGAATAGTGTAGAAAATGGGAGATTCTTTGTGCAGGGAAGTACAGAACACAGTATAGCACTAGAAATGGTTATGATATATTTAAATGATTATACTGGAGAATAATGAGAAATGCCTGGTTAAGATATCTTTGGAGACTTCTTTTCTTAAGACTCCTGTTAACTATTCTGGATTTTTTATGTGTAAAAGGAAAATCACACTATAAATTTAGTGTAACTGTTGTGAGAATTAATGGAAATGATAGGGGCAGGGACCAGCAAATGGCATAATGGTTACGTTGCTGTGCTACCATGTAATCTATTGCAATTCAAGCCCCGGATCCTGCAGTTTAAAACTCACATCAGGCACATATGAGTGTGTGCCCAAGATCCCGCTAAAAAAATAGAGGTGAAGGGATTGCCATGTGGAAATCCCCCTGGGGGGTGATTTCTCACTTTCTCTCTCTCTGTCACTCTGGTAAACACATACACCCTATAACAAAAATCTCTCTCAAAAAAAAAAAAAAAGAAATAGATAGCACTGACCCTTCAGAGACACATTTAATTACTTGATAATCCTTTTTCTTGCTGCTACCACCCTACCAATTCAGGCTTTGCCATTTCAGAATCACTCTTCAAATTGCAAGCACAAGAATAATTGTCTAGTCAAGCCTTCTTTGACTCAACAGGTAGAAGTGAGCTCTTCCTTTCCTTTGTTCTATTCATATGATGAATAAAAATGTACTTATCTTTCTTTTGCTAAAATGGATCTTTAGAAATTTTAATCCACTGACTTTTTCTTATACACACTTACATTATTATTTTTTAAAATAAGAAATCATAAATCTATTTCCATTAAATTATGTTAGCTTCTATCTACATAGATAAGTTTTTGTTTTATTATTTTATTTTTTTATTTTTTAAAAGAATTATTCTATTTAACTGTATTTATTTATTTATTGTTTGTTTGTTTATTTAAATTTGACCAGAGAGGAATAGACTGAGAGAGAGAGTGTGAGAAAGCAAGCCACCAGGTCCTAGACTTGAACTGTGGTTGTCCATGTGATAGTAATCCAGTGTCCCTAAACACCACACCATATGCTGGTCCTGTGTTATTCATTTTAACCATAAGACTTTTTTACCCAACTGTTCAATTTTTAACAGTATACTTGATAGGAAAATACCACAAATAATATTATAAGCATCTTTAATTTATCATTTTATTATATTTCAAAATAATTATATTTTTAAGAAACTTGTGGAAAATGGAATTGAACCTTCTTCATAGAAAATGCTAGCATTAGGGACCAGCAATTAGCGTAATGGCTACATCGCTGGACTCCCATATAGTCGACCGCGGTTTGTGTCCCGGACCTGGTGGCTTAAAACTCACGCCGGGCGCATGTGTGTGCGTGCCCAAGATCCCGAGAGGAGAATGGAGGAGAAGGGATTGCGGCGTGACCATCCCCCCTGGGGGGTGATTTCTCACTTTCTGTCTCTCTGTCTCTCTCTGTCTGGCAAGCGCACGCGCCCTATAGCAAAAACGTCTCAAAAAAAAAAAAGTAAAAGAAAATGATAGTATTAAAGAAAATGTTCTTCTTTACTGATCAAAATAATATTGAAGTCTCCTTTTTTTTTTTTGAGAGAGAGATTTTTTGCTATAGGGCATATGTGCAAGCTGGAAAGACAGAGAAATGAAAAGTGAGAAATCATCCTCCCCCAGGGGCTTAAAACTCACACCAGGCACTTTGCATGTATGCCTAAGATCCCAAGAGGAGCATGGAGGAGAAGGGATTACAGCATGGCCATTCCCACTGGCAGGGGATTTCTCACTTTCTGTCTCTCTGTCTCTGTCTCTTTGGCAAGCACATGCACCCTATAGCAAAACAAACAAACAAACAAACAAATAAACTCTCTCTAAAATAAAATAAAATAAAAGCATAAAGTTACCACTTTAAAGCATATTCACTTGCATGCTTTATAAATGATGAAATTTGCTTTTCATGTCACTACTTCATATTTTCTGCTTTTTACCTAGAGTCGATATAGTTTAAATTATCCCTTTCTTTCTCTAACAAAGTTGTTTACTTTTTCAGAGTACTTTAAAATTTGTCTTAGGGGAAGTTCTGAATCCTTCATGTAAAAATGCTCACTCAACCTGAACTCTGTACCTGACCCTCTAAGTTCTCTGTCAACTGATGGCCTAGCTTCTATATAGTTCTCTTTCCACATCTACAGATGCATGAATGAGTGAATAGTATCTTCTCTGTTTCAGTCTGTTCTCCGTTGCTTAAAACAGAATACCACAGACTGTATAATTTGAGAAGTAAAGGCTTATTTAGCTTGTGTTTCTGGGAGGTCCAAGACTGAGGGCCTACTAATCTAGCAAAAGCCTTCTTTCTTGCTGACATCTGCTGACTATCCATCACATGGCAGGAGAACACGAGCATGTGCCTGCACTCATCTTTCCCTCTCCTATGGAACTACTGGTAGTCAGTCATGTAAGCCTATCTCTGATGATTTTAATGAAAGGCATCTCCTCTTAATATCTTGGATTGGTTAGGTTTCTACCCTCTTAATACCATTACCATAGCAACCAAATTTCAACATATGCATTTTTGAGGAGTGTATTTGAACCATAGTCTTCTCTTTGATTTTATCAATGGATTCTAAGATATATGTCTCAGTTAAGCTCTTGGTATGGCCTCCGACAGCTTGAGTTTATACCGTGATTCCAGTGCAGCATTAACTTAATAAGAGTAAACTAGTTTTCTAAATTCTCAAAGTTTCAGTTTCCTTATTGTAAAAGAGGGAATTATAGCAGGATTGAATGAAGATTAAATGTAATAATTTATGTACTATTCCTTTTTAAAAGTTTATTTCATTTATTTCTTTTATGAGAGACAGAGTTGGAGAGAACAGGGAGTCCCTCAACAGGGTCTCATGTCACAGTCTCCCTGTGGCTGTTCAATCAGCCAGATCGCAGATACACAGGCACTTAACTCGGCATGTACAGGTTACCCTAGGAAACATACTCTGATTGTCCATATGGCTTCCAGCATTGCAGGCTAATGTGTTACTGCTGCTTTACCATGGCTGGACTATCCAGTAAAGTTCTTAGCACAGTACCTGTTATACAGCGAATACTTAAAGAACAGCAGCAACTAGTATTCGTAAATTGATATTTTTCTCAATTTGTGAATATGAAATATGAAGATGCCTTTCCCTAGGACTATAAAGACATTTTTCCATCCTAATTTTTTGGAGAAATTTTTCGCTCCTTTTAACTATTCTCACAGATACTGTCTTTAAGAATCTGAATACTCCCTTTTAGCCATATAAAACCAATATACAAATACACACAAACACAGTTTAATATTGTCAGTAAACTTAGCATCTTAAAGAAGATTCTTCTTTAAGAATTGACAACACCAGAGATAAGTAAAGAGTTGAAAGCCAATTTCATTGTTATTTTTAAGCCTCCTTAGCTTTCTACAATGAACGTTTCTTATTGATTCTCTGAAAATTTTGTATGTTTATGGATAGTAAAAAGAATGTAGCAATATAGTTTCTCATCATAGATGCCTTTGTTATTTAAAATAGTAGAATTATTTCTTCAATATATTAGAGCTTAAGTTCAACCCTGACAGATGGCTTTAAGATGAAGAGTGAAAAGCATTTGTAATTTAACATATTTAAGCTACCGTGGAAAATTAGCAACTTTGTGAAAATTGAAAAACTCATTTCCTAATGCGATTTAGGCAAGGCTGCAAGGATTTTCATTAAATAATATAAAACAAATTAGAGGGATAGAAACAAAACTCAGAAGCAGTAAACAGAATCAAATTAAAAGATGATTTTTACTTTAACTATTTAAAGTCTAAAACCTTTTAACTATATAGTTTTAAAATCAGAAAAATATGTCTTGGCCCAACTGTGTTAGTACAAATGTTAAGGAACCATTGTGCAATGCTGGAGCTGTATGGGAGGGCGGATTTCAGATCCTGGGTTGACTTGAACATGCAGGGTGTCTCTGTGACTTCTCTCTCCTGAAAAAAAGAAATGTATGGCCAAAAACAAACAAACAAAAAAAAGCAAAAAATCCCCACCAAAAATAGAAAAATGTCTTAATTTTTTACTAAATAATTTGATATGGCTATCGTTACTATTAAAATTTGATGAATGAATTCAGAAAATGATCATTGATATTAGATAGGTTCTTAAACTTTGAATTAAAAGCGATTATGAGAAGGCTCAGTGTAATTTATGTACTGGATATATACAGTAGTCTTTGTTTTTTTTTTTAAGCTGATACAGGTTTTCCCATTTATATCTATTTGCAATAAATACTTATTTTATAACCCAAAAGCACTTAGAAATGTAACATAATAAGTCAGATGCTTTACTTCAGTGTAAATATGCTTTAAATTTTAACATAATTCTTCCTGAGTCAATTCTCAGTTCTTTGTTTTACTGACTGTTTTCTTTGTGACTTAGAACCAATATTTCATCGTTTTTTTTTTTCTTCTTTTTTTGTTTTTCTCTACAGAAAGCTGACCTTGCAGTTGCTCCACTGGCTATTACCTACGTTCGAGAGAAGGTCATCGACTTTTCCAAGCCCTTTATGACACTTGGAATAAGTATTTTGTACCGCAAGCCCAATGGTACAAACCCAGGCGTCTTCTCCTTCCTGAATCCTCTCTCCCCTGATATCTGGATGTATATTCTGCTGGCTTACTTGGGTGTCAGTTGTGTGCTCTTTGTCATAGCCAGGTAACATGCTCACTTTTGTGATTTTTTTGGCAATTGTTACCTCCTTTTTCTAACTAATAATTGTCAAAAGTCACAATCAATTTTACTTTTTCTTTTCTTTATTTCCCATGGGGTTCTGAGGAATAATGAATCTTTAAGAGTGATATCTACTTATTAAAATGTATTATGCCACCTTTTGGGGCAGAAAGCATGCTGGTTGTGTCAGTAAGCTATATTTGTGGCAGGGTTTACTATTCTTAATAAGAATCTAAAAGCAGTCATAATCACTATGGAGAAAGAATCATGTCTTCATTTTGAAGATTTCTGTTGAGCTAAAACCAAAATAGCATGTTTTTCTATTGAAACACAATTAAATTAAAAGAGAAATCAAACTAATATTTTAAAGGAGACATTTTTGCAGAACAGAGGCTAATTTACAATATATTAAAATTTTATTTTTCTACATAAAATTTATTTTTTCAAAGAATAAGTATATCATTATGCAAAATTGCCTTATTGTCATTGATATATATAGATATATATCTATATCTCTATATAGATATAGATATATATATACACATATGTTTTAAGTCATAGATTCAGAAAAATTGAGGCCTAAATGAAAACAACATAGTTTTACATTTTTATAATCACCTGTAAAAATCTATCAATATAATACAACTCAATCTATGTTGATTCTGCTATTTTCTTGTTGCTTTTAGAGGTAAAAATTTGTAATCATTCTCATTTATGTTTACCTCTCTATTAAGCTTCAAATTGATAGACTATTTCAATATAACTTACTTGTCCCTTTGTTAAGGAGATCAGAATTATGCCTCAGGAATCAGAACTGTGTTGTTACTGTAATTACATTAAAGGCCACATATTCATCATTTTAAAAATTTTAATGTTCTAGCAGATATAAAAAAGTGAAATGAAAATAAATTATAATTCAATATACAATTTTTATATTGATAAAATGCATGTGATATTTAAATATATATTTTATGCCCTATAATCAAAATTAAATATGCATTTTCTCTTTATCAGTTATATTGCATAGATTCTTTTGATAAATTTATCATTAAGGATAATTTTTCTCTCTTTTATTTATTCTCTTTCCAATGAAGTCACATAATCTTTTATAGCAGTTAAAGAAAAAGAAAAGTAGGTTTAGTTTATTCAACCAAAAGGGACCAAATTGTGTTACAGAAGTAACACAATTTTTTTTGCAACCATTTATACGTTTGATATACTTACACAGATATTTTGAATATATTGATATTTATGCACAATTATTACACAAATGTATTATTTTCCACTTAATTGATTCAATATTACAACTTGAGTCTATTATCATTGGATTCACCTGAAAATGTGTATTGGAACCATGTAGCCATATAGCACCTGAAGCTATGTGATAAATCTTGTTAAATGACTTTCTTCCCAAAAATGAGAATTTTGAGTATGAAGTTCATAAGCTTTTATCTCCAGCTCTTTCCATACTCTGTGAAAATAAAACAGTCTTCTCACTTTTATGCACATTTGGACCGATTGTATCTTTAAAACAATTTTTTTTGAGAGAGATTTTTGCTATAGGGCGTATGTGCTAGACAGAGAGACAGAAAGCAAGAAATCACTCCCCAGGGGGATGGCCATCCTTCAATCCCTTCTTCTCCATTCTCCTCTTGGGATTTTGGGCACACATGCACAAGTGCCCAGAGTGAGTTTGAAGCATACAGAACTGGGAGTCCAGTGACATAACCATTACACCATCTGCTGGTCCCAGTTGTACCTTTTTTATAGTGACCAATACAGGCCAACCTATTTTATTTATGTATGTTTAGAAAATGACTTCTAGGGTTTCAGCATAAATAATTCAATGGCTAGATAACTTTTTATCTAAGTCCACAAGACAAACAGAAATATAAATAAAGTATAGAAAAATATCTAGATGTCTACATATATACCTAATCTTCCTTAATCAAATTAACAAATAAAATTCAAGAAAGACATATATAAAGTTTAGAATAAAGGGTTTTGAGATAATTCTGAGATAGTTGTATGGGCATTAGTCAAGATTAATTAAGTCCAATTTCTTGAGGATCTTTAATATAAACTCTGGATACTTCACATTTGCTTTAGGAATTTTAGATATTCTTAATTTTCTAAGACTAAATCTTCTGAAATTAATATCAAAAGCAAATACTAAAATTTCCGCATTCTTTTCTAGATTAAAATCAAATTTTCAAAGGAAACCATGTGGTATGGCTATTCACTTATCTAATTTTTCAAAATATTTCTAAACACTTACTTTGAAAAAAATCATAGATAACATCTTATAATTATGATAACCTGTATTGATTTTACAAAAGGAAAACACCTAGGTATTTTTACTTACTTTTTAATGCCTTTAAATTTTGGAATGTCACTGTAACATTTTGTCATTAGTTTTTGAATGCTCCTATTTTAGCTTTCTATTCAGTGATATGAAAACAAACTGTCTCATATACTTTGAAACATTTATTTGGGCCAGCTCTGAGGCCTAGTGGTTAAGTCAACCGGATCTCATATGGTCCAACTCTGTGGCTCAAGTCCTGGACCTGGGAACTTGAGAAACATGCTGCGTATGTGTACATGCTTGCTCCAAATTATGGAAGGAGGAAAGACGGAAGAGAAAAGTCTACAGGATAAACTTTCTCTATGGGGGATGTTTTCTCTTCTCCCTCTCTCCATTATTCCCTGGCAAGTACACATGTTTTCTAGCAAAAAACCAAACCAAATAAAAAACCAAACACGTATGAAATCTTCATTTGGGGCCCGTTAATAGATATCCTGTTAAATAGTAAATAATGCTTGATCATCTATATTAAGTAATAAATGATAGATATTCTCGGTAAAGTAATATGAAATATAAAAGTATTTTATAGATTCTCTTAGAATACTTCAATATTTCAATACTCAAAATTGAAATAATTCTTTTTAAAATACCTCCAAATAAAATATAATACCGAATAGTCAGATTAAATGAATTCTTTGAATAGAGTCTATTTAAATTCCAAGTGGAACCTCCCAAATCAAATAAATTTGTATAATTAAAATCTATTCTGATATGGTTGAACTCTTGCTACTGTCAAAGACGTTCATGATGTGCAAATGCAGATAAAATGTCAAAGTTTCAATTGTACAACAGAACTTGCTTACCTTTCTAATTTAAACAGACTCATAATATTTGTTAGAATTTAAAACAACTGTAGCTTTTTGATTTAACCTGTCAATAAAAATTTTGTCATGTTATATAGAGATTACCAATGAACTAATTGATGTCATTTTGATGGCACGATATATGTGGTATTTTCTTTCTCTGAATATTCTTTATCTCTATGACAATTACAGAAAAAAAAGACAAATTGCATTTTTAAATTCTTAGATGTGTGTTTCATTTTTATTAAAATTCTCAGATACAAGGTCTAAAATATTTACTACTCTATTAAAATAATTCATATTTATTGGGACCAGCAGTTAGCATAATGGCTATGTCGCTGGACTCCCATATAGTTCAAGTCCCAGACTCATGCCGGATGTGTGCGTGCGTGCCCAAGATCCCGAGAGGAGAATGGAGGAGAAAGGATTGCAGCGTCATCCTCCCTGGGGGATGAATTCTCGCTTTTTGCATCTCTGTCTCTCTCTGTCTGTCTGGTGAGCGCACATACCCTATAGCAAAAACGTCTCCAAAAAAAAAAAGAATTCATATTTATTAATTATTAGAAGTGATGTTATATTACATTTTAGGAAATTTTGTAATACCTACTTAGAAATGAACATGACTTATTTCAAAACTAAAACATAATACATAACTTAAATACTGTCAAAATTAAATTAAATTTCTCTTTTTAATTTTGGTCATCATTGTTACAATTCATCTTCTATATTGTTCTAGTTACCAAGTTGCACCTTCAATTTATTTTGTCTTTTCACTTGAGTTTAATTATTCCATCAGTCACTCACTCAATTAGTCAAGTATTTAGTCAAGTATGTTTACTGGAGAGAACATAACAACTATAAATAAAATGAGGCTTTAGGCAAATTGTTAGTTATCATTAAAACACTAGATATGTAGCTTATTGAATATTCTATCACATTATTAAAACTATTTTGTGACAAATTTAAAACTAAGTATAATTCATGTTTTTAAAACTGGGTTTTAATGTAGATTGTTTTAACGATATTTTTAAAATTTCCTCCACTTTTATTTTAAAAGAAAAACATCTAAGAATATTTAATATATGCTCTAAATATGCAAATATACTTAACCAATATTAAGAAAGAAATATGCAGTATTTTTTATCTTGATATCAATTTTATGTTATACGGTCTCTTGCAAGCAGTTGTATTATTATTTATAGCATAATGACATAATCAGCATGTTTATCTGAATTAGCCAAGAACTCTTACTTCTGAATAAAGATAAAGCCTAAGGTATTGCATTCTAAACATAGAAAGTTCTTATCCTGTGTATCATAATAGTTTTTGGCTGATGAGGGTTAGGAAGAAATCTTATCAATGTTGGGCTTGTACTTTGCCCCTAAATCTGTTTCCCTCTTTCTTTCTTTTTCTTTGACCTAGGTATACTATTAGAGAGATGGCAGTTAGTCATATAAAAGGACTGGTGAGGGTACCCACCTTTTATGTTGGTAATAAGAGGTATTTTTCACCTTGCTTCAAATATTTCCCTTATTAAACAACAGATACTATTGCTACAACAGATACTGTTCCAAAATGAGGCAATTTGAATTCCCATAGATATTACAGATTTTTTTTCTTTTAACTAGAGATGTCTCCAAGACAACCAAGCTGTTCTAAAATTCAGCATGCAAATCTTGGCCTAAGGTTCTTAGCAGTCTGGTATACGGAGATGAATAATACGACCAAACCTAAAAGAAGGGAAAAATAGATACATTTCCTCCAGTGGGATTGATGAGCCTTAATAATTATTCACTAAACCTATGAACATATTGCAT